CCATCATAGCAACACACAAGCCATCACAGTACCACAAATTTAGATGAGTGATGAAATGATAACATAAATGGTTACTTTCATGGAAGGAAACAACATTATTTGAATGAATTCCTACCAATAATCTATGAAATCCAATTAAATGAAAATGCAGAAATTTATGCTAGATGATGCCATTTGGGGGGAGTAACAACAGAATGTTAGGTGCTGTCAAGTCACTTCCAATTCATAACAACTGTATGTACAGCAGAACAAAACACTGCCCAGTCCTGTGCCATCCTCACAATCACTGCTACATCTGAGCTCACTGTTGCAGCCACTGCGTCAATCCACCTCATTGAGGGTCTTCCTCTTCTTCACTGACCCTCTACTTTACTAAACATGCTGTCCTTCTCCAGGGACTGGTCCTTCCTGATAACATGTCCAAAGTATGTGTGATGAAGTCTTGTCATCCTTGCTTCTAAGGAGCATTCTGGCTGCACTTATTCCAAGACAGATTAGTTCATTCTTCTGGAAGTCCATTGTATATTCAATATTCTTTGCCAACACCATAATTCAAAGGCATCAATTCTTCTATGGTCTTCCTTATTCATTGTCCAGCTTTTGTTTGCATACGAGGCAACTGAAAATACCATGGCTTGGGTCAGGTGCACCTTAGTCCTCAAGGTAACATCTTTGGTTTTTAACACTTTAAAGAGGTCTTTTGCAGCAGATTACCCAGTGCAATCCATCATTTTCTAATTATTGTAGTTAAATGAAGTTTACATTTCAAGTTAGTCTCCCATAGAAAATTTTTATACATACATTGTTATGTGACCCTAATTGCTCACCCCATTCTGCGACAGCATACTCCTCCTTTCTGCCCTAATTCCCCATGTCCATTCAACCAGCTCCTAACCCTCTCTGCCTTCCCATCTCACCTCTGGACAGAAGCTGCCCCTTTGGTCTCTTGTATCTACTTGACTAAGAGGCACACTTCACAAGTTATCACTCTGTGTCCCACAGTCCAGTCCAATCCCCGTCTGAAGAGTTGGCCTCGGAAACTGTTTTAGTTCGGGGCTGACAGAGAGTCCCGGAGGCATGCTTTCTGGGGTACTTCCAGTCTCAGATGATTAAGTCTGGTCTTCTTACTAGAATTTGAGTTCAGCACCCCATCTTTCTGCTGCTCTATCAGGGACCCTCTGTTGTGTTCCCTGTCAGGATGGTCACTGGTGGTAGCTGGGCACCATCTAGTTCTTCTGGTCTCAGGCTGATGAAGTCTCTGGTTTATGTGGCCCTGTCTCTTGGGCTAATACTTACCTGTGTCTTTGGTGTTCTTCGTTCTCCTTTATTCTAGGTGGTTGGGACCAATTGATGCATCTTAGATGGCCACTTGCAAGCTTTTAAGACTTCAGATGCCACTCACTAAAGTAGGATGCAGAACATTTTCTTAATAAGCTTTGTTATGCCGATTGACCTAGATGTTCCCCGAAAGCATGGTCGCCAGACCCCTACCCCTGCTACTCTCTCTCTCAAAGTATTTGTTGGTATTCAGGAAGCTTCTTAGCTCTGGTTTAGTCCAGCTGTACTGACTTCCCCTGTAGTGTGTGCTGTCCTTCCCTTCGCCTAAGATGATTCTTACCTACTATCTAGTTAGTGAGTAACCCTCACCCTCCCTCCCTACCCCCATAACCATCAAAGAATGTTTTCTTCTGTGTTTAAACCTTTTCTTGAGTTCTTATAATAGTGGTCTTATACAGTATTTGTCCTTCTGTGACTGACTAAATTCACTCCGCATAGTAAGTTCCAGCTTCCATCATGTTACGTTTCACAGCTTCATCGTTGTTCTTTATTATTGTGCAATATTCCATTGTGTGGATATACCATAATTCGTTTATCCATTTGTCCGTTGATGGGCATCTAGGTTGTTTCCATCTTTTTGCTATTGTGAACAGTGCTGCAATGAACATGGGTGTGCATATATCTATTCATGTGACGGCTCTTATTTCTCTAGGATATATTCCAAGGAGCGGGATAGCTGGATCGTATGGTACTTCTATTTCTTGCTTTTTAAAGAAGCGCCAAATCGATTTCCAAAGTGGTTATACCACTTTACATTCCCACCAATAGTGTATAAGTGTTCCAGTCTCTCCACAACCTCTCTAGCATTTATTATTTTGTGTTTTCTGGATTAATGCTAGCCTTGTTGGGGTGAGGTGGTATCTCATTGTACTTTTGATCTGCATTCTCTAATGGCTAATGATCGTGAGCATTTCTTCATGTGTCTGTTAGCTGCCTGAATATCTTCTTTGGCGAAGTGCCTGTTCATATCCTTTGCCCATTTTTTATTGGGTTATCTGTCTTTTTGTTGTTGAGATTTTGCAGTATCTTATAGATTTTAGAGATTAGACGCTGATTGGATTTGTTGTAGCCAGAAATTTTTTCCCAGTCTGTAGACTGTCTTTTTACTCTTTTGGTGAAGTCTTTTGATGAGCATTATTGTTTGATTTTTAGGAGCTCCCGTTTATCTTGTGCTTGTGCGTTGTTACTTATGGTTCGTATTGTGTTTATGCCATGTATTAGGGCTCCTAGCATTGTCCCTATTTTTTCCTCCATGATCTTTATTGTTTTCGATTTTATATTTAAGTCTTTGATCCATTTTGAGTTAGTTTTTGTACATGTTGTAAGGTATGGGTCTTGTTTCAATTTTTTGCAGATGGATATCCAGTTATGCCCATACCATTTGTTACAGAGACTGTCTTTTCCCCAATTAATGAACTTTGGGCCTTTGTCAAATATTAGCTGCTCATAGGTGGATGTGCTTGTATCTGGATTCTCAACTCTGTTCCATTGGTCTATATATCTGTGGTTGTACCAGTACCAGGCTGTTCTGACTACCGTGGCGGTATAATGGGTCCTAAAATCAGGTAGTGTAAGGCCTCCCACTTTGTTGTTCTTCTTCAGTAATGCTTTATTCGGGGCCTCTTCCCTTTCCATAGAAGTTGGTGATTTGTTTCCCCATCTCCTTAAAAAATGCTGGTGGAATTTGGATCGGGATTGCATTGTATCTGTAGATTGCTTTGGTTAGAACTGACATTTTCACTATGTTGAGTCTACCTATCCATGAGCAAGGTATATTTTTCCACCTATGCAGGTCTCTTTTAGTTTCTTGCAGTAGTGTCTTGTAGCTTTCTCTGTATAGATCTTTTACGTCTCTGGTTAGATTTATTCCTAAGTATTTTATCTTCTTGGGGGCTATTGTAAATGGTATTGATTTGGTAATTTTGTCTTCAAGGTTCTCTTTGTTGGTGTAAAGGAATCTAACCGATTTCTGTATGTTTATCTTTTATCCTGAAACTTTGCTGAAATCTTCTATTAGTTCCAATAGTTTTCTTGTAGATTCTCTGGGGTTTTCTGTGTATAAGATCATATCATCTGCAAACAGAGATACTCTGACTTCTTCCCTACTAATCTGGATGCCCTTTATTGCTTTTTCTAGCCTAACTGCTCTGGCTAGGACCTCCAGCACAATGTTGAATAAGAGTGGTAATGGAGGGCATCCTTGTCTGGTTCCCATTCTCAAGGGGAATGCTTTCAAAATCTCTCCATTTAGGATGATGTTGGCTGTTGGCTTTGTATAGAAGCCCTGAACTAAACTGAGGAATTTCCCTTCTATTCCTATTTTATTGAGAGTTTTTATCATGAATCAGTGCTGGACTCTGTCAAATGCCTTTTCTGCATTGACGGATAAGATCACGTGGTTCTTGTCTTGTTTTATTTATGTGATGGATTACATTGATTGTTTCTCTAATGTTGAACCATCCCTGCATACCTGGCATAAATCCCACTTGGTCATGGTGAATTATTTTTTTGATATGTTGCTGAATTCTATTGGCTAGAATTTTGTTGAGGATTTTTACATCAATGTTCATGAGGGATAATGGTCTGTAGTTTTCTTTTTTTGTGGTGTCTTTAACTGGTTTGCGTATCAGGGTTATGCTGCCTTCGTAGAATGAATTTGGGAGTATTTCATCCTTTTCTATGCTCTGAAATACCTTTAGTAGAAGTGGTATTATCTCTTCTCTGAAAGTCTGGTAGAATTCTCCAGTGAAGCCATCCAGGCCAGGGCTTTTCCAGCATTTATACTTTAAAGGCTTACCAAGAAGATTCTGATTCGCAGCTACGTTTGGGAAACACTAACCTAGACAGCTTTCTCAGGTCCACTTCCTCAAATGTCTGGAACCCTGAAGAAGTCTGAGCAGAAAGAAGATGAGAAGATATCCTTTGGTAAGCTATCACTTTGGGATTCTCAGAATGCTCATAATTCCAAAGAGTCCAATGTGACAGAAATGCTAAGCAAGCATGCTTTAGGTAATTTAGCTTGTCCCTTCCTCTAAAAACCGTTGTACTTAACCTTGCACTTACCTTCTGTGCCTTAGCAGCCACTCAAACTAACTTTGCTATTAGGATAATGGCCTTTTTTTGTAATTGCTGCTGAAAGTTAGGGGCCCTGGTGGTGCAATGGTTAAGAGCTCAGCTGCTAAACAAAAGTCTCAAATCCACCAGCCACCCCTTGGAAACCCTCTGGGGCAGTTCCACTCTGTTCTATAGGGTCGCTATGAGTTGGAATCAACTCGATGGCAGTGGGTTTCAGCTGAAGATTAACTGTAAAGAATATGAGGATGGGAGGTTGTGAAAAACAAATGAAATGAGAAATATGTGTCTTTGGTGAAGAAACACAACCCTCCTGCACCATCAGCACTACAGCACATACTGTGTTTTTCCAGTGGACGTGCAGAGGTGGGCACTTGGTCATCAAACATGTACTGAGCACTCACTCAGTGAGGAGCTAGCAGATGCTGTGGGAGAGGGAAATATCAGAGCACAGAACCTCTGCCCTCCGGCAGCGTGTACACAGAGGCCTACAACGTCAGACGTGACGCAAGATGCAGAGTGGAGTAGGTATGAGGTAAAATCACAATGGTTACATTCTTTTACATCCCTTCAAATGTATTTCTTTTTACCTGATGAGCTTATTCCAGGACAGGTCAAGGACAGCATCGGTATGCGCTTCTGCTGAGGAACTCTGTAATAATTATCTTTAATTACTTTTTGTATTAAATTCCTCCAACACATAATTGATACTTTAAGAAAGAAACACCTTGTCTCCCAGTTAGTTTAGATACCCATGATATTCTTTACGGAGAAGAAACTATAGTAGTTCTTAACTTAAGTGGTATAATTCTACAAGTATCAGTTTTTCACTCCCCTTCCCCGAATAGAAACAGTTTAAAAAGCTATAGGAATTAACACATGGATACTTAGAATTTAAAATACTAAAAGTTAAACAGAAATTTTTAAAATTCTATTTCATTATTATTTTATCTTCTAAAGGTCTAACTGATTTTAGGTCAAGAAGAATGAACACAAAACACAACACTGGACAAAAAGAATTCATATTTAGGAACGTAAATGCTTGTCAAAAATTACTCTTCTTCAGTATTTAAAGAAAGCTTATGAAGAACAATGTAAACAAAGCCAGGGTTAACAAAGCTCTTCAGGATGCCCTTTTGGAATGTGGCAAGTTCACAACCAGCATATTGATGAGAATGGCTACTACGTATGAAGAAGGAACATGGCCTGAGAGTAATTTGTTTTGTGTAAGGAAGAATGACAGGCTAACGAAGATTTTCTGCAATCAGTAATTATTTCCTCTGAGATTAGCTTTATGAAACTAGAAAGTACAGTAACTTCGTAACTACCTGTCCTGTCCCACCAAGAATATCTGGTTGGAAAAATGTACGTTCTTGCTCCTCCTCCCCCCATTAACTTATGTCTACTTGTATTAAAGCTAAATATCTGTTAAGTAATTTACCTTTTTTCCTTTCTTTTTCTTCTTTTTTGATAGCTTACTTCCAAGTGTGAAGACTGGTTCTAAAGAGTCCACTATATCAAGGTCCCATACTTCAATAACGGGGGTCATGTTTCCCACAGCAATATAGTTTCCTACAGGAGGAGGTGATGCATTTATGATTAAAACAAACAAAAACCAACAAAAGAAAGGCATAAACGACTTCTAATCATATACATTACACTGTAGAATAGACAAGTAACAGTTAGAGCAGAGCTTCTCAAATTTTCATATACATATTAATCATCTGAATGTTGTTAAAATGCAGATTCTAATGCAACAGTTAAGCGCTGGCAGCTAAGAGAAAGGTCAGCAGTTCGAGCCCACCAGTGGTTCTGTGGGAGAAAAGGCCTGACAATCTGTTCTCCTAAAGATTACAGTCTAGAAAACTTATAGGGCAGTTCTTTTCTGTCACACTGGGTCACTATGAATGAGTTGGAATTGACCTGATGGCACCCAACAACAACCAGTTCCCGGATGATGTCAATGTTATGCTGCTGTTCCCTGGACCACAATTCGAGTAGCCAGTCTCTTGGTCCCAATGTGCTTAGTCCTATTACGAGAATAAAACCCATCTTTCCTCCTTCATGGGGCCATTGTGAAGATGAGGATCAAATTAAGACAATAAATAAACATGCTCCGCAAACAAGATGTAAATGTTAGTATCATCAGTGTTTACCTTTATAAGGAGGAAGTACTGACAAGGGCAACTAACAGTGCACAGATGTGGTTAATAAGACTAACTTGAGAACATAATTACTTAATTTGTCCCAAACCTGTTACGTGGCAAGCCTTTTCATTTTGATTTTACCTGAAGTTTTTGAGAAGAGTTAGGCCACTAAACTCTAGCTGGTAATGTCAGACACATCATGCCATTTTATACTGGTTTTTTTTATGAGACCTTCACCCAAGTTCTGCAGCCAACATGCTTTCAGGCCCCATCCTCCAGCTTACAGTGGAGCAGCTATCCCCTTAGCCTACCCAAAGACTGGAGATACAGAGGCCCAAAACAATAAGTGATTGTGTTTTAAGAACTATATAACTTCATAAAATGTAGAAAAAGTAACTTCTTAAAATATCAGCAACAATTCTGAAAACATTCAGACAGAACATAACTCGTGTGACTTGGAAAGACACAATTGTAAATTCGCCAATTACCAGTAGAATCATCTGGGCTAGGATCAAAATTCAGCCATTCCACGCTCAGAGGATATGCAGACAAGAGTATATCATGGTGTACATAAAAAGAGTCTTCTTCTTGATTATAAACTGAAAAGATTAGGAAAAGAGACATAATTGTTGCAGAATAAGAGTTATTAGAAATCACATCCCACTCAAAAGAACAGACTCTCCCTATTAAACCGATGGGAGCCACAATGCTTAAAGAGAGACCCACGTGATGACATTAAAAAGAGATGCCAAACTCTTTACTACTAGGCAAAACTTTTGCATGTAAAATATATCCCACCATCTGGCATGCCCCTGAGGGGTACGTGAACATTGGCAGAGAAGCAGTAGCTGTCTGAATACTCCATCCACATGTTCCCCAGTTAAGTGGTTCTGTCTTGTGGTTCACCTATTACAGAAAACAAACTCTCAGAAGGAGTATTTCAGTATTATTTTATCCTTTAGAGGTCTAACTGATTATAAGTCAAAAAGAACAAACAAAAAAACAGCACTGGATAAAAATAATTCATATTTAGACATCTAAATGCTTGTCAAAAACTACTCTTCTTTAATATTAAAAAAAAAAAGGCTTATAAAGACTAACAATGTAAACAAAGCTCTTGAAGACACCCTTTTGGAATACGGCAACTAAAAGAATTAGCTCCTTTTTATCATTAACAGTTCTAACATTAAGGACCAAAAATGCTGCTAAAAATTGATGGCTAATCAGAGATGCAAATCAAAACCACAATGAGATACCATTTCACTTTCACTAGGATGGCTAAGATTAAAAAAAAAAAAAACCCACAGAAAATAACAAATGTTGGTGAGAATGTGGGGAAACTGGAACCCTTATCCATTGATGGTGGGAATGCAAAATGGTACAGCCATTGTAAGAAAACAATGTGGCGGTTCCTAAAAAAACTAAACATAGAACTACCATGTGACCTAGCAATTCCACTCCTAGTTAAATACCCAAAAGATCTGAAAGCAGAGACTCAAAAAGAGACTTGTACACCAATGTTCATTGCAGCACTATTCACAATAGCCAAAAGGTGGAAACCTAAATGCCCATCAACATATGAACAGACAAACAAAATGTGGTACGTATATACAATGGAATACTACTCAGCCAGTAGGAGAAATGAAGTCTTCATACATGCTACAGTATGGATGGAGCTTGAAGGCATTATGCTGAGTGAAACAAGCCAATCACAAAGGACAAATATTATAGGAACTCACTTATATAAAAAGACAAGAAACGGTAAATGTATAAAGACCAAAGTTTATTAGTGGTTACCAGGGGTGGGAGGCGGAGCCCCGGTGGTATAGTAATTGAGAGCTACGGCTGCTAACCAAAAAGTCAGCAATTCGAATCCACCACCTGCTCCTTGGAAACCGTATGGGGCAGTTCTACTCTGTCCTATAGGGTTGCTATGGGTCAGAACTGACTCAACAGCAATGAGTGGGAGGGGAAAAGGAGGGTTGACGGTGATGGAAAAATCGCGTTGATTAAGGGCAGGGTTGCACAGCCAATTATTGTAATTGCTGTCAGTAAGTTGTACACCTGTAAAAAGTAGATGTACACCTACTCTTCACTACCTCGTTATACGACATTTTGCACTTACAATAGTTAAAAATCTACTATCTGACAATTTGTGCATTAAGACATCTGTCTGGCAGTAATGAATGCCGAGGTGCGAAGTGAGAGTAACACTGGCTGTGATTATTAAGGTTATGCGTCAGCTTGGCTGGGCCATGATTCTCAGTGGTTTGGCAGTTATGTAATGATGTAGTCATTATCCATTTTGTGATGTAAGTGATCATCCTCTATTTTCTCACAACAACCTGGTCTTTGGAACTTAACTATGTCCATAAGTGAGGAGTGGGATTATTTACAACAATGACCCCCCCCAAAAAAGAGTAACTGCTGAGGCTGCATATGTATACCCAAACACCTCATGGGATGTGGTTCCTTGGTTTGGAGGTTTAGGGTCATGGTTTCCTGGGACATCCCAGTTAACTGGCCTAATAACGTGTTTAGTGCTTCTGTTCTACCTCCTAGTTCCCTGTGTAGTGCCTGAGGTCACAGAAATTTACAAGCAGCCATCCAAGGCACAATAATTACTCTCTATTCACCTGGAGTAACAGAGGAAGAAGGAGAGTCAGGAATAGGAGCATATGGAATGTGTGGCTTATTGCCTCCATGAACAACTACCTCCTTTGCCATGAGACCAGAAGAACTGGATGGTACCTGGCTACCATTACTGAACATTTTGATCAAAGATTTCCTAGAAAAATCCTGCTCAAAAGGGGAAAAAGCAGAATAGAATTTCTAATTCTCATGGACTCCAGACTTTCTGGAGCCATGGAGGCTGGATGAACCCCTGAAACTACTGCCCTGAGATAATCTTTAAACCATAAACCAAAAATAGCCTTTGAAGTCTTCTTAAAACCAAACAAGGGTTTAGCTTAGCTAGTAAAAAAGGTCTGCCTTGAGCATTATGCTCTTTTAAGAACTACCTGTATGGGATCAAACTGACAACAGCAACTCAAAAGATTAGATAGGAACCTTGGGGGCAGTAAGTTAATAAGGGAAGAACAACTAAGAAAAGGAGGTGAGAATGGTTGCACAACTCAAAGACTGTAATCAATGTCACTAAACTGTCCATACAGAAACTGCTGAACTACTGTATGATTTGCTGTGTATATTCTCAACAACAACAAAATAAATAATATTTAGGAAAAAAGGATATATGGCTAAAAAGTCTTTTAAAAATTATACAGTGAAACTGAGCCCCAAAATTTGGGACTCCCCCCCCCTTTACCATATGATTTTATTAAGAAAGAAGCTAATAATAAGATAAGCTAAGGATTTTTGTTTTTTTAAACTCCTCAGATCTGTGCTTCAGGGACAGATCCTAGGATCAGCAGATTTCGTGTAACAGTCTACGAATCACTGTACAGTGGGAAAGCATGTGCAGAATGATTAGCTTGTGGTCCTGGAAGAACCTCAACCACGTTCAATGTATTCAGCTTACATGTTACGTAAAAATGGTGACGGTGCTTTAAAACATAAACTTCTTTTTACCCATGTCAGATCAGCTTTCAGGTCAGCTTTAGAATGCAATTTTGAAATTACTCTTGAATAGAGATATGCTAGATAATTTGCTGATCCTCTCCAAATCTAAATAATAAGGTATAGGTACGATAACCTAGCTTAAAAGGAAGTAGAAATATAATTGCTTTACTTGAATTTCTTTCTAAATTTCTCTATGATCCTCACTGAATTCAAGGAATGACTATAACAGGTTCTCAGATGAGAATGTAAGAAAATTAATGATGACAAAAACACTGATAGGGTTTCAATTTTTTGAAATTAGAATTGGCTTTGAAAAAAAAATTCACCAACATGGTTTTCATTTGAAATATGTAAAAAGTTCAAAGATATCGAGAGAGAGAATAACTTCACATTGAATTAACTGTTATTTAAAGCCTTTCTGAGAAAGATTTTATAAACAGATCACAACGGGTCATGGGATAAAAATGGCCGAACGTTTAGGTTTCCCACAAGCAGCCTTAAAGATTCTGAAGTTACAGAAATCCACACTAATAAATGGAACCAACAACAAGAACCATCTAGAAGATGCCAATAAACATCAAACAACACAGTTTTAACTTCCAAAGGGTGCAACTGTGTTTCCCATGACAAAATGCCTTATCAGCCTACTAATCTCTTTAAGCTTCAACATTTCAAGACAGGTGACTAGGAGATTTCCGGGAGAGGAGAGCATCTGGGAAAGAAAGACCTGCCTGAGGTAAATGCACAGAGGAAGGGGCAAGAGAAAGAAGAGGGAAAATTTGGAAGCAGAGCATTCCGGGCATCTTGAAGGCTATTTTTAGGTATGAAAAATAAGATAATAGATTTTATACAGCAATACCAAAATGAGGCAAGTCATTCAATTAAAGTTTGCTGGATTAATAAATATCAACATGATAAAATATCTGATTTGAAAATGCAAATCAATGGTGACTTCAGATTACTGACAAGCACCCACATCTGGCTCTCATGTAATCACTCGCTGGAGTGGGAAAAGGATCAAGATGTTTTAGTCCAAAGGAAAAATGTGGAGCCTCTCTGTTGAATTATTATGAACACAAAACATTCTGCAAAGGGGGAAATATTTGAAACAACTCCAAAAAAGGATAAAAATCTGTCTATTCAGTATAATCTTAACTACATTAAAAATAACAGACAAACAAGAAAACTGGGAGTAAAACGCCAGGGTGGCAAGTTACTACCTCAAGGTAATGGGATTTTAACCTTTTCTTCAATTTTTACATATGATTTTACTCCCAGGTTTTCTATAGTGGGGGGGGGGGGAGGGAGTAGTGAAAAACTGCCACAAATGTTTAAATAAAAGATTAACAATCTCTATTAGAACTCCCGTGGCACCCTGGAGGCGCAACGGTTAAGTGCTTGGCTGTTAACCGAAAGGTTGGCGATTCAAACCCACCAGCAGCCCCAAGGAAAAAGACCTGGTGAACTGCTCCCATAAAGATTACAGCCTAGAAAACATTACAGGGCAGTTCTACTCTATCCTATAGGGTCACTATGAGTCGGAATCAACTCGATAGCACACAACAGCATTAGTACTCCCAGGTTACCTATTTCCATTAAAAAAGTCAGGTACCAAAGTGACACATCAGACTACATGCCCAGGCACATTAACCAGAAATCTGTAGGCTATGTAGGATTCAACCAGGTAGCCAACTTAAATAAGATTCAGCAGGATCTGACACCTATATGACCTCACAACAGTAACTATTATGGTTTTTTTAATATCACTTAAATAGAGAACCTTTTAGTAGATGATATATTTTACTTACCATGCACCTCTAAATTGCACTGGTCCTGTTCAGCTCTACCGCAAACTATGAGATTATCATTGGGCTTAATCAAGAAATCCTCACGTTCATATTGTTCCTAAGTGCAAAGAAAAAAAGTCATTGGCTAGAAGCAGGGATCTCATAAGGTAACCACTAATAACCTTTGGTCTCTATGCACCTGCCTGTTCTAGATATTTCACATTAGTAAGATCATACAATATTTGTCCTTCTGTGTCTGACTTCCTTCACTCAGTATAAAGTTTTCAAGATTCATCCATGTTGTAGCATGTACCTAAACTTATTTCTCTTTATGGCCGAGTAATATTCTATTGCACGTATATAGTACATTTTGTTTACCCATTTGTCTGCTGATGGACACTTGGGTTTCTTCCACTTTTTGGCTGTTGTGAATAATGCTGCAATGAACATTGGTGTACAGGTTTCTGTTTGAGTTCCTGCTTTCAAGTCTTTCTGGTGTACACCTGGGAGTGGAACTGCTGGGTCATATTCTACGTTTAACTTTTTGAGAAACTGTAGGTTTTTCAAGCACTTAACAGCACGATTAGAAAAGCCATGTAAATATTTACCGTATCTTTCAGCGTAACATAAGGGTCCTGATCATTACTCCCATAGACTGTAAGACCCAAAAGAGATTCACCAAGAGTCTCAGCATCTATAAGAATGCATAAGCTGAAATGAATAAAACAGTCATTTTGACAAAAGTATTTTTTCTAAGACATTTCATCTTTAGACTTAGATCCAACCATCTACTTTAAAACTATCTTGGCATCAACCAAAGCTGGGAAAGGAAACAGTTGGTGAAAATAAACAAGAGTGTACGGCTGATATTCTTGGCATTCACAACTCTTCCAATAAAAGAATTAAACTGTAAAATCCCCTTTTAGAAAACATTAGAACTCTGCTCTGAATCCCTCGCTTGCTCTTTTTGATCATTATTCAAAAGTGCTAGAGAGAGGTGGCCTTGAGCACCTGGAAATAAAATTACCCTAAAACATGGAAATCAACACAGCAGGATAAGGCTTGCCTGGTCACATAAAACTGAGAAATGATGACTTTCATAAACAGGTTTCTGTACTGCAAGATTTCTCAGAACTGCTGATATGCTAATGTGCCTTATGAATCTAAACTTATGCCTTTTTCCCTAAAGTTATCTGAATATGGAATTCCTGTTTTTATGGCATGTCGGCTAGAGTAACAGAGTAGACCCCAGGTAACATAAAGTTCAAGAAAAGGAAGATATACTTGTTAGGGGACGTTATTTGAAGGATGCAAGACTGATGGGTCTTTAAGACCTGAGAGGGAACGGAGAGGGAGTTTCTCCTGCCTGAGAAAGACAGTGCTGATAACCTGCACAGGGAGGAGAGCATGAAGGAGCTGTTCTGAAAGCCACCTCTCCAGGTGAGGTGAGCTCTTCCTCCCTCTGTATTCCCATGGCACTCTGCAGGGTGCTGGCAAGGCCCTCTGCTGGACTGCATCTAGTAAAGCACACTGAAAAGAACGGCTTTAGGGCTAGAGAGTGTTCCAACCGCAGCTCCACCTTTCACCACCTGTGTGGTACTGGCAAAGTTATTTCATCTTGCTGAGCCTCAGTTTTCTCTCCTATAAAATGGAGGTAATAGTTCCTCTCTCAGTATTGCAGACAAAGGAAAGTGAGTGGTTAAGACCTTAGCTGCCAATCAAAAGGTCGACAGTTCGAATCCACCAGGTGCTCCTTGGAAACCCTGTGGGGCAGTTCTACTCTGTCCTATAGGGTTGCTATGAGTCAGAATCCACTGGATGGCAATGGGTTTAGTTTTTTTGGTTTAATAGTACATAGGATGATGGCCAGAGGAATAAGGGATAAAGAGAAATGAACATCTAGATGGAAAAATCGATAAATGGCAAAATAAAATTAGATACAGGGACACCAGTGATATAAAGAGGGAAATTAGGGGTACTGATTCTAGAAGAAAGATCAGTTTTATGAAGACGATGCAAAACATTCAACTTCCTCTGATGCTACACCTCTTTCCTGTTTCCTCCTCTTCACTCCCAGGGTCCTAATCCAGGTCCTCATTGCTTCTGGCCTGATTTAGTTTAAGTCTCCTTCTCCTCCAGGGATTCACCCTATCTCCCAATCCATTCTGCACGGCTGCCAGAGTTAATGCTCTAACATTCACATGAGATTAACATGTGCACTGTGCTCAAAGACCTTTAATGATTTTCTCCTGCACAGGGAACAGAGACTCCTAAGCCTGGCATTCAAAGCTGGGCCCCAACAAGCCTTTCCAGACTTTTCTCCAACTCCTCATCCATCTTCCAGATACATCACCCACACATATCAACTTACCAGGCATTCTTCCCACTTCAGGTCTTTATTCAAGCTATTTCCTGTTCCCTCACACACATTAGGTCAAGCTCAACATCACTTTGGCCCTTAAGGCTTTCCACAGTTTTACCCCATTCTACTAAATTTTCTTCTTATTTGGATCAGTGCTTTCTCCACAATGTTATCTATAATGCTCAAACAGGCACCATTTGAGGCACCCAGGCCAAGTTTGCTAATTTCTACACTGACCATCTTTGATCAATCTATTTCATTCCACCCAGAACCTACTTCCTCCTTTGTCCCTGCCCATCTACTATTTATTCATCTTCTCATGGCCACCACAGGTCACATCTCCTGACCTATTCTTCAAACAGTGCCAACAACACTGACACTGACTCATCCCACAGTGCTTACCACCAACATACATGTCTGATTTTTTAAAAAAAAAAACTTTGTGTTATGGAAATTTTCAAATACGCACAAAAATAAAGAGGGTATAATGAGCCTCCTATCACCTAGCCTTGACAGTTAACATTTTCTCAATTTTGTTTTTTTGTACCCCCCTCCTCCTTTGGGGTTTTGAAAAGCAAATCCTAGATAGCATGCTGTTTTACTCATAAGCACTCAGTATGCACCTCTAGCAGATAAGGACATTTTTTTGTGCCTGATTAAAATTGCAATAGGAAACCCCTGAAACTATTGCCCTGAGATCATCTTTAAACCTTAAACCAAAAATATCCCCTGAAATTTTCTTTAAACTAAACAAGAATTTAGTTCAACTAGTAAAGAATGTCTACCTTGAACACTGTGCTCTTTTAAGAACCATCTATATGGGATCAAATTGACAAAAGGCAACTCGAAAGATTAGATATGAAACTTTAGGGGGCAGTGAGTTTATGTTAATGGGGGAGGAACAACTTGGAAAAGGAGGGTGAGAATGGCTGCACAACTTGAACAATGTAATCAATGTCACTGAATTCTACATGTAGGAACTGTTGAATTGGTGTGTGTTCTGCTGTGTATATTCTCAACAACAAAAAATAAAACTAAAAAAATTGCTGTACGACTTTTTTACACAGTGTTTTCAATTTTGTCTCCCCAACAAAATCTAGCACAAGAATAGACATTTAATAAAACGTGTAATTTTTAAACTGGGTTATTGATTTCACCCACAAATCTGGGCTCTTATGAAAATAATGTAGGTAAAGCATCCTCTCAGAGTCTCTCCACAGCCTCACTTAGCATAAAGCTCTGTACACAGTATCGTATTCCCTATCCACCCACCTAGTGGAGAATTAAACTGAGGAACTTAAGACCCTATGGGAAAACAGAATCAGACTTAAAAAAGCCCAAAATATCAAAATAAAGGATCCATTAAGTAAACACAGTATCATCTTTTGTATTTTAAATATCCTGTTATACAATGAATATCGTCCTTGTATTTACCATCACTTGCTCACTAGAGATCCTTCAAGATCTCTTTCCCTTGCAGTCAATGAGATAGTTGTGATTTTGCTTTGTTGCCGATAACACATGTATATTTTTCATATGTTAAATCCTCTATGTTTTTCAGCAACTTGAAGTTGCTGATTCTAGCTTTCAGAGACCACCAGGTCTCAGAGAGGCAGAATAACTGGAACAAACTTTATTTAGCCTGTTCAGCATGCAAAAACCGATTGCCTATTTCTCAAACCCCAACATCTGGGGTGAGCATCACGCACACCAGAAGACAGCAAAGTGAACTCTTCCCACTCAGTCAGCCCCTCTTATGTTTATCTCCTGTCCCTAAAAGAGCAAGGCAGTTCTGTTTATGTCTTCTCAGCTCACTGTATCTCCTCCAAGGCTTTCTGCACTAACCTCTACACCTTCTTTATCTCCCTTTTCTCTTCCCACCAATGGTTCTCTCTTTTTCTATTTATCCCCAACAACAGTGTCTCAAAATGTATGTATTGCAAAATAAAAATAATTGTGGTTGAGGAAAAGAAATAAACCCAAGTATACTATAACTACATACGAGAACAACTCACAAATTGGTTAGAGATTATCATACATGCAATAAAATACGCAATACTCTTTTTTTTTTAGTCTTAGGTTAGTGGACTAGTTTTCATTTCTAAACTAGTTTAGGAAACATGCCCTCTGCCCAAGGTTTGTAGCAGATTATGTGACTGATGTAAGGGACAACAGAATCTCAGAGTAAAGCTTTGAACACCACCAGCATGATCTAATGCACTGACTGTGTGATTAAAAACCAGTAGAAATGAATGAATTCTGACCTGGGTCGCCATCGTCGTCGTATTTGTCTAAGTCGTACTCCGCCAGCTCATCATCATCCAGCGTCCTGTTGTCCTCTGGGTCACCATCATCCAGGGGCTCCCTGGGCCGTGCCTGGGTGCGTGCACTCTGCATGCCGACTTCTGAAGGATCACCTGTCTCCTCTTCATCACTGCCACCTTCTTCTCTATGGGAATAAAAAAATAATAATAATTAAAAAAAAAAAAAAAATTCACTCAATAACAAGACCACCTTGTCATCATTATTTAAGATATACATTTGATCTGGAACTATACTAAGACATCAATATCCCCAAACTTACTGTAATTTTTCCTTTGCTTCAGTGATGAGACGTTTTACTTCTTCTTTACTTAGCTCTACCTATAAGAGATCAAACACTTCATGAGATTACAATATACAGTGAAAACTGTGAAAGCCAGAACCTGTGTAAGGCAGAAACCTGTCAGAGAAGGAAAACTCAAATATTTCCCAAGAAAAGGAACAAAGAAAATTTGTAAGAATGTCAAAGGCAGAAAACCTAGGAGACCCAGAAAAACAAGGCAGTCCTGGCGAGTTCCAGCTCTCACAGGTTTCACTGTATTTAAGAAAATCATTAAGTCTTTGAATTTACAAGAAGTCTGCAAACGATGTCAAATATAACTTCACAGACATAAGAATCAAATATCAATAGAAGCCCTAATTTTAAGATAAATGGAGTGGGTCACATTTCACAGGTCCTTCCAATTAAGATCCCTTCCCACCTGAAACTCTTTAAGATCAACATCCTCCCCCATGCTCATTCTACTCTACCTCTCTCTAGTCTTTTTTAAAAATACTGGCTTCCCTGAAAGCTCATCTGGCTTTCTTCCAACCAGTGTGACTCCTTCATGGCCACCTCTCCCCATCCTCCCTGTGGGCATTCCTAAACAAACCACCCTTGCCTTTGTCCTCTGCTTTTTCCTATTATCACTGCTAAGTACTCATTGATCAGGCACTCACTCTCATGCAAAGCTCATTCATTCTCAAGACTAAAACTACCACCTCTGAACTGAATGCTACAAAATTTCCCCTCCAGTCCGACATTCCAGGTCCATTTCTCCAACTGCCTGTAAGACTCCTCACTTGGGCATTCTGTTATCCTAATATTAACAACCTCAAAATTGAAGTCACACTCTTTCTACCCTCTCCTAATCAATGTTCCAGTTCCTTTAAAAAATATCCCTATCATTATTAAACTGTAAGCTTCTGGATGACAGAAATTTACTTGTCACTGTACACCTAAGCATACAGGTCAGTATATCAGGCCCATGGTAGTGAAACTTAATGATTAACAATAAACAAACCAACCAATCACCCAGTTTCTACAAAATGCCTGTTGTTAGTTGCCCTCTATTCCATTCTGACTCATGGCGACCCCATGTGTGCAGAGCAGAACTGCTCCACAGGGTTTTAAATGTTTTGCTCTTTTGGAAGCAGATCGCCAGGCCTGTCTCCCCAAGGTGCCTCTGGGTGGGGTCGAACTGCCAACCTTTCAGCTAGTAGTTGAGTGCTTAACTATTTGTGCCACCTAGGGACTCCTAAGATGCCTCTCCGAAAAAAAAAAAAAAAAACCCAAACCTGTTGCCATCGAGTCAATTCCAACTCATAGCAACCCTATAGGGCAGAGTAGAATTGCCCCATAGGGTTTTCGAGGAGCAGCTGGCGAATTCAAACTGCTGACCTTTTAGCTAGCAGCCTTAGCTCTCAACCACTGAGCCACCAGGGCTCCAAGATGCCTCTAAACCTGCTGCTGCTTAGTCGATTCCAACTCATACCAATCCTATCAGACAGAGTAGAACTGCCCCACGGGGTTTCCAAGGAGTGGCTGGTAGATTTGAACTGCTGACCTGTTGGTTAGCAGCCAAATGCCTAACCACTTGTGCCACCAGAGCCCCAAGATGCTTCTAGTAATATGGAATTCTTTTTGAGGGATGACGTTCCATGGTTGGACAGCTCCAGAAATTAAAGGTTATTTCTTGAGTTTAATTAAAAGGTACTTATTTTTTTAATTTCTTTTATTAGTCTGTAGTTTTCCTCTCTGGGGTTTCAGAATAAGTCCAATATCTTCTTCCTATAAACTCTTCAAGCAGTGGTTCCCAAACTTGTCTGCAAATTAGAATCATCCAGGGATCTTTTAAAAATTTGAGGCTATGCCCCAAACCAATTAAATCACAATTATTTGGGGGGGGTGGGATGCAGGCATCAGTATACTGACACGCCCAAGTGGTTCCAATATGCAGACATGTTTGGGAATCACTGTCTTTAAATATTTGAAAGGCTGTATGTCCCACAACTGTTACCTCCTTTAACAACCTTTAATATGGTTCCCATCTGTCCCTACACTACAAATACGCATTGACTGCCTACCTGTGAGTCAAACACTGGAGAAACAGTGGTGAATAAGACTGCATCCTGGTGGAAGTTACACCTATTGGGGCCATTCAATCTTTCATTCCTGTCAACCCGTGTCCAAGTCAGTCACATTCCTATCACCTTCCCTATCTTTGTCATCATTAGCCCAGTCAATTACACTCAAGTCTACCCTTTACCTCTACTTTACTTCTTCCATAGCACTTACTCGCTATGAGTCGGAATCGACTTGACGGCAACAGGTTTTTTTTTTTTAAATAGCACTTATTACCACTGACATATAATACATGCACATGTCAAGTCACTTTTTCTCTTCTGTTCATGTTACATCCCAAACCTTGAACAATGCCTGGCCTGTAAAAAGCACTTAAATGTCTATTTAATGAATAACTAATCGTAACCTCTTTGACTCAGTCACAAACTCCTGCAGATTTTTCCTTCCTGTGTCACATTTAGCTCCCATCCCCACTGCCACCATCAACATTTCACTCGAATTATTGCAAAAAATTCCTAATTCAACTTCCAGCCTCAGGAAATTGTAGCCACCGCACCAGTCTTTCTACACTACAGTTTTCATCCTGTTTACTCCTCTGAAACACCCAGCAGAATGGAAAATGAGTTTTCACATATGTGCTCCTTCTTCCCTTGGAGTCTGAAAATGCACTGGAGTAGGAGTGGAGAAGCTGTGGTGTTGTCAAGAAGGCTTTTGGGAGATTTCCCACCCCAAGCAACACTCTGCCCCAGACCGTGAGGTCCACGTGTGTGTGAACTGGGGGCTGGACGGGGGGGAGGGGACTGTGAGGAGGCGCGGCCCGGACTCCCCAGGCCCAAGAGACCCAGACCCTCGGAGCCGCAGCGCCTGTCACGACGATCAGGCCCAAACCCACCTGATTGCGGCCAGCCCCATCAGCGCCCCGTGTGAGGGGTTCCCCAGGCGAGATGACCCAGGATTCCGCAAAGAGGTCGTTCCTCTCACCTCGGAACAACAAAGCCTCACCTTGTCTGGGGTCTCTTTGGCCACGCCGCAGCGGACCCAGGACACGCACGTCACCTGGCGGCTACGATTCATGGTTCTCGGCTCAAGAACCCCTCACGCGAAAAACCCAGTCGCTACAGGACTGAGACCTCAGCCAAAGCTAGGTCGGCAAGGTCCAGGTCCCGCGCGGAGCTTCCTTTTGGGCAGAGCGCAGGCACGAACCTTCTCGCCGCAGCATCGGCGCCCGCTTCTGACGTCATTCGGACGCGCCGAATGGGATAGGGGCGGGGAGAAGGTTGCACGCGGGGGCAGCTGGGTAAGATCCTTGTGGGGTCGATTGTACTATGTAGAGTGGTAGGGAATGACTTTTCAGGACTATCCTGCTTGTGCCGGAGTCTGCGAGCTTCGTGGAGGCAAAGAAAATATTTGGAACTGGGTTCAGTCATAGGAAGAGTTCTCCCAATCTATTTCATCTGCAGTGCCATAGATTTAAAGCTGACAGAGAGTGGCGCGTGTGTGTATTTTAAATCCGGAGTAAAAATTTTCTTCATGATGAATTAGTCATTTCAAAGAGATACTTCCGCCGCTACACCTCCTTACATTCTTGGTAGCATACACAAAGTACTTATAATGTGGTAGGCATTGCTTTGATTGCCTTATGTTTACTTGGGAGCCCTGGTGGCGCAGTGGTTGAGAGCTACGGCTACTAAACCAAAAAGTGAGCAGTTTAAATGCAGTTCACATCCACCAGCCGCTCCTTGGAAACCCTGTGGGGCAGTTCTAGTCTGTCCTTTAGGGGCGCTATAAATCGGAATCCACTCCATGGCAACGGGTATGTTAACTTGATTACATCTTAACCCTGTGTGGTAGCTCTTATTCCCATTTTACAGATGGATAAACAATAGTTATCGTTCTCAAAGCCACACAGCTAGTACGTGGTGTAGCTACAATCTGAATCCAGGCAGTGTGACTCCAGATCCGCGGCTAGTATCTGTTATATCGTCTTTCTCAGCTAAGGTCATGTCTGCTGTCGAGTGGATTCTGACTCATAGCGACTTCATATGACAGAGTAGAGCTGCCCCATAGGGTTTCCTAGGTCGTAATATTTACTGGAGCAGATCACCAGGTCTTTTCTCCCGCAAAAGGGCTGCTGGGTTTGAACCACCAACCTTTGGGTTAGCAGCTCAGTACTTAACCATTGCACCCCCGGAGCTCCTTCACGCTAAGGTCGTAGTCACCTAGAAAATGTCAGTGGCTGAAGGTAGTTTAGGATGGAAAGTCTTAAGCTACGAGTCCAGAAAGATCTGGATTTTGATCTCTTTCTTGGCTGTATGACTACGTCCAGGTCTTTTGCCCTCTCTGAGCTTTGATATACCTCGTCTATCTGAGGCAGGCAAGCAAAAAGAACAGGAGAATGGCTGCTATGTGCAAAAAGTGGCAGGAAAAATAAATTGGTAGCACATGGTCTAACCCCAGCTGCATTGTCAAAAGTGGGCTGTCCACCAGTGGGGTTGATTTGTGGACATTTCACAACAAATTTGTCTTCACATACAATATCTTACTTGGTTCTCTCAACAACACTGTGATGAAATCTGATCAAGAATTACTTCCATTTTAAAAATTAGGAAGTTAGAGGGCACAATGGTCAAATGACTTATTACCCTGAGATCACACAATTAGGAACTGATAGAGCTACATCTGACACCACCATCTCTCCACACTCAGCCCAATGCCCTTTGCACTCACTCTACCAGCCCGAGGAGGGACCCTCTCAGGAGTGAATTGCTCCTTCTTTGGGCGGGTGGATGATGTGCTCATTAAGGCCTCTTCCAGTGCTGTGCTTCTCGAAAATGATCCTTCCGGCTTCTTTGTTTTGTCCATTTGGAAAGATGGTGTGGCAGATTGTGTTTTCCAAAGGTCATTTCAACAAGCAATATATCCCTTCACATACACTTTTTTACAATGTGATCTTGCTGCTCCCCCATCAAAAGGTGGAGCCTAATTTCCCTCCACTTGAATCTGGGTGGGCTGGAACTGCTTTGCCCAGTGGAGTATGACAAGGCTGGAGCCCTGGGGATGCAACAATTAGGTGCTTGGCTGCTAACTGAAAGGTTGGTGGTTCAAACCCACCCAGTGGCTGTGTAGAAGAAAGACCTGCGATCTGCTTCTGTAAAGATTATAGCCAAGAAAACCCTATGTGGGGTCACTATGAGTTGGAATCAACTCGACAGCACTTACAAACAACCCTGAGGCCTCTATGCTGTGAGAAAGCCAAACCACACGGATAGGCCATGGGTGGATACTTCAGTATACAGTCCTTGTTTATGAGTCAACCAGACATGTGAGTGAAAGAGCCTTCAGATGATTCCAGCTCCCAGACATTGATTCACCCTTAGTCTTTGAGTTTTCCTAGCTGAGACCTAGACATTGCAGAGCGCAGACAAACCATCCCCACTGCGCCCTGCCAAAATTCCTGACCTCCAGAATCTCTGAGCAGAGTAAAATTGTTTCAAACGGCTGGATTTTGAAGCCATTTTTGTTTAGCAGTAATCACCAGAACAGGTGAGAACCCATGCTATATTTAGAGTGGAGCAAGTGAACTTATTTATTGGCACAGGCTGATTTATTAACACCTGGCTGGGCTTAATCTGGTGTGCTCCCCTGATACATGGGACAGTGTTTGTGTTTGAGTTTTTGCCTCTGGGTCTGCTTCCTTTGGGTGCTGGCCTTTTTTTCTGAGCCAGCTTCTGCTCCATAATGGCCCAGTCCATGTCTGTGTGGTTAACTGCTGTACCCAGCTCGGTGCCCGATGCAGAGCAAGCACTTGATAAATATTTGTTAAATGAATGAATAAATTACAGAAGAGAAGGTGAGCTAGCTAGGACTCTGGTTATTTTGGGCCTGTTAAATTTACAGTCTTACTGGGCTTATCTCTGACATTCTGCCACATCAGCCCAAGCTGTGAATTCCCTTTAAAAGGGAAAATCCAGTTGCAGCTGGCATTATTAGCTCCTTGTAACAAGAATTGAAATAGATCAAGCTTAAATAGCTCTGTTTCTAAGCCTGATGCTTGGGAACACTGATGAACATATTTAACTCAGAGAAGTCTCTTTGCCAGAGGCCAAAAAAAAAACTTGGTAGCGAGGTGGCTATTCTTAGAATTAAGGTCCCAGAGGGGTTGGGCCTAAGTCCATGCCCAGCTCTTGTTACATTCTGTAGCTCAGCATCATGTGTAATTAAGTTCATAAACATTATGTCTAATTGGCCTTAAGCACTGGGGAGGAAGTGAAGCCTGTTGTACTCTCCTCCCCCATTACCCTAGGCTCTGTTTCTTTCCCCTCCTCTAGCTAACCCTACAGGATTAGCTGATAAGGAGCTGAAGGTATAATAATAACTATCAGCTACCAAATGTTAAAGGCTTATACCACAAACAGATTTTACAGTGACAAAGTCAAGTGTACAAAAAATGAGAGTTTATTTGTCTGGAGCTAAACTTAACTTCCATTTTCATTAGGAGAGGAACCATGATTGTTTTATTACCACAGTGTTATCAACACCTAGCATAGTGCCTGCCACCCCCTGTTTGTCAGTTTGGCATACTGTGATGGCTTGCATGTTGCTATGATGCTAGAAGCTATACTACCAGTATTTCAAATACCAGCAGAGTCACCCATGGTGTACAGTTTTCAGCAGAGCTTCCAGATTAAGACAGACTAGGAGAAAAGGCCTGGCGATCTACTTCCTAAAATCACCCAGTGAAAACCCCATGGATCACAACACAATATTGTTTGATACAGTGCTGGAAGATGAGTCCCCTAGGTTGGAAGGCACTACAATAGTCACAACAATGGACTCAAATATACCAGTGATCATGAAGGTGGCTCGGGGCTGGGCAATGTTTCATTTTGTTGTACGTAAGGGTGCCATGAATTGGAGCTGACTCAATGGCAACTGACAAAATCAACAACAGCATAGTGCCCCGCACAATAAATGCCAATAAATATTTGGTGAATAAACGAATGATTTCAGAGTTGTAAATTGAAATCCAGAGAGATTAGGCAACTTGCCCAGTGTCATATAGTTAACAAATCACAAGAGACTACCCCGACAATTCCTAGTACAGGATCCTTTCCACTATGCCACACAGGTTTTCTGGTAGAGTTGCTTATGGATTCATTCATTTATTTCTTGGTCTGTCAGGGCTCTTTTGGGTGCAAGTGACAACTCAACTCTAATGGCCTTAGGCAAGAAGTGGAATGTATATGCTCTGAAGTCTCAAAAATCCAGTGATATACGTAGCTTCAGGCATAGCTTGATCAAGGGGCTTAAACCATGTCATCAGGAATTGATCTCTCTTCAATCTTTTGTCTCTGTCTTCCAATGTGTTGGCTTAATTTCAGATCTCCGGGAACTGCTGGCTTGCAGCATCCTTCATTCGTAGTCCTAGCAGAAATGCTCTCCCTGTTATCCTTGCTTCTGTCTGTCTTATTTGTCATTTTGGTTCTGGATTGTCATTTGCCCACTCCTGAGCTAGTCACTGTGGTCAGGAGAAGGTGACGTTATGATTGGCTAGAAATGAGCCACATGCCCAGCCTTGGAGCCAGGGAGGGAGTCAGCTGTACATGGGACACATGGATTGACAGTAGGGAAGGAAGAGTTCTCTAGATGAAAATTGAGGTGCTGCCAAGAACAACTGTTCTCCACAGTATTTGTTAAACAGTTTCTCTCCCATCTTTGTGCAGAGCACTGTTTGGTAGACAAAGATGAACATGACAGCCTTACCCCTGAGGAGTTTATACTCTAATGGAGGAACCAGGGGAAATTTAATAAGCTATGTATTGGGAGAATGGTCTGCTGTGTGGTGTGGCCTTGTGACCTTCACCTGAACCACCCAATCAGCTTTGGGCATAGACTATTCCTTGATAATGAAGGCTGGGAACTGAGCCTCCCTCTGTCCTAGTTTCTTCTTCTTTTTTATCAGGGAAACTCCTTCCCTGTTAGGAGGCTGATGAGTACTTCTTTGTTCTGCTTATGCATATGCATCATATAGCACCTGGCCGACCGCCCCCCCCCCCCATTGCTATTATCTGTTTTCTGCAGGTATCCTTCACCTGCAGCACAAGAGGGGAGCGTGAAGACCACCTGCTGCATTGGCTGCGGAGACCCACTGGCCATGAGGGACCAACATTCACTATTGAAGATGATCTTGCTCTGTGTCTTTTCTATGTGAGTAAAGTGTTGTTCCA